CCCCCTTTTTTTTCCGGGGGGGGGGGGGGTGTATTCTGAGGGAAAAGTACATGTTGTTTGTGAGAAAATACTTTACTAAAACTTGAAACTATATTGCCTGAAGTGAAGAAAGGCTGAGAACTCCAGATGCCATCTGATTTACTCTCTTACAGCCAGCCTTCTCAGCCTGTCTACCATTTTTTTAAAGTTTTAAAACAGGGGTTTTCAACTTTTTCGTCTAAGTAGTCCCGGTGGCTGGATGCCAAGTGGGGGAGGGAGGAGGGAGCATGCAGCTGGATGCCGAGCAGGGGGTGGCAGGGGTGTTACGCAGCCGGACATGGAGCAGGGTGGCAGGGACGGTGTGCGGCCAGGTGGGGGCAGAGCACTGCCGCTGCCTCCCAGGAGCAGGGCTAGGGTGGGGCAGGGAAGCTCAGACTGGTGTGAGGGTAGCGGTACCTCTCTACAGGGCGGGGAAGCTCACTGGGCTGGTGTGTGACAGTGGCAGTGGCTGCAATGGTTCCCTGCCCCGCAGAGGGCCACTGCTGCCCTTATCCTGCCTAGCCCTGCTCCTGGGAGGCGGCAGCACTCCATCCCCGCCCACCCATATGTACCCCCTAGGATCGGTCCATGTACCTCCAGGGGTATGTGTACCCCCGGTTGACAACCCCCATTTTAAAACATCCATACCTGGAAATATTTGCCACATTAAAAAAAAGTTTTAATCTTGTATCTGTGCTTAACTGTCAGCCTCTCCTGTGGCAAAATACTATTCTAGAGGATATATGAAAAATGTTTTCTGAAGACAATTGGGAGCCTAAACTTCTGAAGTGAATCCCTGAGAATCCCCACTGATATATGAATCAGCGCTTTCCTGCTGGCATTCACCAGCCAGGAATAACACTAGTCCAGTTTATAAGCTATGGACTGAAACTCTTCTAGTGTTTCACTGAGCTATGATAACCATGGCTCAAGTGTAGAACATTTAGAATTTGTTTATAGGGTCTAGATAGTATTTTGCCACAAAAGAGGTCGACAGTTCAGCACAGATCCAAGTAATATAAAATGAGACATCCTCACAGAAGTAAAAATTCAAATGCATTACTGAGAGATGACTAGTTTTAAGCAAGCT